TTTTCTATCCTAGAAAATGTCCTTATACATTTAAGAAGAATGTGTATGCTGTTGTTTGGGGTAGAATATTCTGTATCTATCTGCTACATCTAGTTGGTTTATTGTGTTCTCTATTTTGATACTTATTTTCTGTTTGTACTGTTTATTATTAAAAGTGGGGTGTTGAAGCTTCCAACTATTAGTATACAACTATTTCTCCTTTTAATTCTGATATGCTTTGCTTTGTATAATTTAATGTCATTAGATCTGTCATTAGATATGTAAATGTTCCTGTTTTTTCTTCTTGCTGTATTGACGTTTTTGTTAATATCTATAATGTCTTTCTTTGTCTCTTGTATTTTTATTTAATGTCTATCTTTTCTGATATTAGAATAGCTACCCCTGCTCTCTTTAAGTTACTATTTATATGAAATATCTTTTTCCCTCCTTTCATTTTCAAGCTATTTGTGTCTTTGTATCTAAAGTAAGTCTCTTGCAGACAGCATAGAATTGAATCATGTGATGTTTTTTCCAGTCTGACAGTCTTTGTTTTATAATTGGAGTGCTTAATCCATTTACATTTAAAGTAATTACTGATAAGGAGGGACTTCTGTCATTTTGCTGTTTGTTTTCTGTATGCCTTATAGTTTTTTTGTTCCCCATTTCCCACGTTGCTGTCTTCTTTTCTGTGTAGTTTTTTTAAGTGAAATATTTTAATTCCCTTCTCATTTCCTTTTGTATATATTCTATAGATTTTTTTGTGATTACCATAGGAATTACATATAATATCCTAAAGTTATAACTGTCTAACTTGAATTCATATTATCTTTCATTTAATAATGTACACAAATTCTACTCCTTTACAGCTTCATCTCCACTTTTCATTACTGATATCACAAAATTGTGTCTTTATATATCATGTGCCCCAAAAAACAAGCTAATAATCCTTCTAAATACATTAGTCTCTTAAATTACGTAGAAAACAAAATGTGGAATTACAAATCAAAGTTACAATAACACTAACTTTTTTTGGTTTTTTTGAGATGGAGCCTTGCTCTGTCGCCCAGGCTGGAGTGCAGTGGAGCAATCTCGGCTCACTGCACCCTCCGCCTCCCAGGTTCAAGCGATTCTCCTACCTTAGCCTCCTGGGCAGCTGGGACTACAGGTGCCTGCCACCATGTCTGGCTAATTTTTTGTATTTTTACTAGAGGCGGGGTTTCACTGTGTTAACCAGGATAGTCTCGATCTCCTGACCTCATGATCCTCCCACCTCGGCCTCCTAAAGCACTGGGATTACAGGCGTGAGCCATCACGCCTGACCCTAACTTTTAGACTAATACTTAAAAACAAAATGTACTAGTCTCTTGAATCACCTAAGAAACAAAAGGTGGAGCTACACGCTAAAGTCACAGTAATATTAGCTTTTATAATTGCCCATGTATTTACCTTTATTAAGATCTTTATTTCTTCACCTGGCATTGAGGTAGTTTAATGTACTTTCATTTAACCCTGAATAACTTCCTTGAGCATTTACTGGGGGCCAAGCTAACGGTAACAAACTCCTTAAGTTTTTGTTGATTTGAGAATGTCTTAATTTCTCCTTTACTATTGAATGAAAATTTTGCCAGATATAGAATTTTTATTGGTAGATTTTTTCTCTTATAACACTGGCCTTCAAAGTATCTGATAAAAAATTTGCTGATAATCTTATTGCGAATCTTGTGTATGTAACAAGTTGCTTCTCTCTTGCCGGTTTCAAGATTCTCTCTTTGTACTAAGAGCCAAAATTGACTGAAATTAATCACAATTTACTGTCTAAGCCTTCTTCGGGGAGTTGCAAACCTTCAGTAGACTTCAGAGTTCCCAAATAGTTAAATCAGATTCTGCCAGTGCAATTGTTTTCTATGTAAGAAGACAGATTCCTGTTGCTTCCTACTCTGCCATCTTCCTGGAATCCTCCCTATGCTTGCCTCTTAATGCTGCTTCTCCATGATCACATTTCTATTCTTGCTCTACAGGTATCTCCCATGTTTCTGTTCTATAGCTCTCACTGCCAAGTGATGACTGCCACCCATGCAGTAATCTGATGCTTTCTCTTTCTCTGTCTGTAGGTGTTGGTTGATCTAGATCCATTCTCAGGGTAGTGCCCACCTGTGTTTCACCTGGCTTCAGCACAGCCTTTTCACTACCCCTGCACTACAAAGCAGCCTACAAAGCAGAGCTTCTTGGTGATCTCCAGTTCTTGTAGATATTCTAATTTAAATGAAATGAAGAATATGTTTCTTTATAATTTTTTTTTTTAATTCTGATACTGGATCACGGGAACTGGACAGAAGGACCATCTTAGGGACTAAAATAAAAAAAAAAAATTTCCACTTCCATGGTCTTACTACACTTTATCATTTCCTTAGAATGAGTTTTTTTTTTTTTTTCTCTTAGTGGTTTTCTGTCCCTCAGGCTTCCAACTACCCAGATAGATCTGAATCCCTGGGTAAAAAAGCTTAGGCAGAGAGAAGTTGGAATTGCAACAACAAAGCTTCAGATGGTCATTTAACTGGCTAACTAAAATTTTTCTTCTGGGCCTATGTCTTAGGGAGGAAGTTTCCATCCCATCAAATAGCAGTTGACTTTGCAGTCCATGGGAAAGTGGAGCACAGGTCAAGATATGGGAGAAATTCCTACTGGAAGGAACCAGAAACAAGTTGATGTATGGAATAATCGCATTGCTCTAAATAATGAACTAAACTAACCTATTTCTTGGAAGAGTAGAAGCTGACAACATTCAAAAGATTATGTATTTGAAAACTACATTTGACACTCTCAAAAAACAAAATAACTCCAAAAATGGATCTTATTTCACATCTTCCCTGAAGGGTAACAGCGTTCCCATAACTAGACTCTAGTTAGTGCCCACTTGGTTTTCAGGTGAAGACTTCTGGATGAAGGTCCTCATCCAATAGATCAGGAGCGTTCTCCCATCCTGGTCCCCAACATCCCTGCAAGCACCAGGCTTCAACCACGGAGTTGTCTGTACTTTTTTAAGTATTAGAAGAATATTACAACAGTCTTACATTCTAGGTATATTAGCCTGTTTTCACACGGCTATAAAGAACTACCTGAGACTGGGTAATTTATAAAGAAAAGAGGTTTCATTGACTCATAGTTCCACATGGCTGGGGAGGCTTCAGGAAACTTACAATCATGGCAGAAGGCAAAGGGGAAGCAAGACACATCTTACATGGCAGCATGGGGTTGGGGGAAGTGCCTCACACCTTTAAACCACCAGATCTCATGAGAATTCACTCACTATCACAAGAATAGCATGGGGGAAACAGTCCCCATTATCCAATCACCCCCCACCACATCCCTCCCTCGGCATGTGAGGATTACAATTTGAGATGAGATTTGCGTAGGGACACTGAGCCAAACAGTATCACTAGGGATAAACCTTACTCGGTTATTATGCTTTGTCCTTTTAGATATTACTGGATTCAATTTGGTAATAATTGTGTTTCTTATAATGTTCTTGTTGGGTTTTGATATTAGAGTTATACTGACATCATAAGTTGAGTAAGAATCTTCCTACACTATTTTTTAAAAGAAAGTTATGTAACATTAGTATTACTTCTTTCTCAAATGCCTCATAGAACTAACCAAAGGATCTACCTGGTTGTAGACTTTTCCTCGTGGGAAGGCTTTTGACTATGAATTAAGTTTTTAAAAAATAGTCACAGGGCTATTTATATATATTTTCTTTATCTTCTTGCATCAGGTATGGTAAATTTTGTCTTTCAAGGAATTTGTTCGTTACAATTAAGTTGTCAAGTGTATTGGCATAAAATTCTTCATAATTTATTTTTTAAGAGAAAATAATATTATATTAGCTTGAATGCTTTGTTCTTTAATTAAACTTTTTCCTTTCAGATAATGATAGCTTCAGATGCACTTTTGAAAAATTACACAGACAGAGCTCCTGTACACTTTACCCAGTTTCCCCCAGTGGTAACATATTGCAAAACTATAATACAATATTACATTCAGGTTATTTAATTTGATAGAGTCAAGATACAGAATATTTCCATCAGCATAGAGAGCCTCATGTTACCCTTTTCATTCCATTCTTTAACTCTGTCAACCATTAATATGTTTCCCATTTCTAAAATTTTGGGATTTAAGAATGTTATATAAATGGAATCATACCTATGTACCCTTTTGAGACAAGATCCTGCTCTGTTGCCCAGGCTGGAGTGCAGTGACATACTTATGGCTCACTGCAGCCTCTGCCTCTCCCCAGCTCAAGTGATCATCTCACCTTAGCCCCCTGCGTAGTTAGGATCACAGGCGTGTGCCACCATTCCTGGCTAACTATTATTTTTTCCCAATGTTACCCATGTTGGTCTCAAACTCCAAGGATCAAGTGATCCTCCCACTTTGACCTCTCAAATTGCTGGGAGGTTGGATTTTTCTTCTTCTTCTTCTTTTTATCTTTTGCTGTATTTTTTATTTCTAAAATTTCCATGGATTCTTCTTCTTCTTTATTTTTTTGCTGAGTGAAACTTTCTATTTCTTTGCTGACATTTTCTGTTTTCATTTGTTTCAGGCACATTTATATTTTTTGTTGAAGCACTTTTATCATAGCTGCTTTAAAGTCTCTGAGAGATAATTAATCTCTGATTGTCTTTTTTATTGAGTTTGAGATCTTCTAGTTTTTAGTATGACACATTTTTAATTGAAATATAGACATTTTGGATATTAGATTGTGAGGCTCTGAATCATCTTTAAACCTTTTTTTTTTTTTTTTTTTAATTTTGTGAGACGGAGTCTAGTTTTTAGTATGACACATTTTTAATTGAAATATAGACATTTTGGATATTAGATTGTGAGGCTCTGAATCATCTTTAAACCTTTTTTTTTTTTTTTAAGCTGGCTTCCTCCAACACTATCTGGCAGAGGAAGTGACAGATACTGCCTATCTACCGCCAGGTTGTGGTAGAAGTCCAGGATCTCCACTCAGTTTCTACTGACACCCAAGCAGAAGGGAGCTCCTTGTTACTACTGAGTGAAGGTCAGAGTTCTTGCTCCTCACTAGGTCTCTTCTGATCTCTGTTTTTTCTATCATGGGTTGGGAAGAGATCACAGGGGTGTCTCTGTGTGTGTATGTGTGTGTGTGTCTGTGTGTGTGTGGGGGGGGTGGGGGGTGTTTAGATACAGAAGAGCAGTTATTTTCTAAAAGTTTTTTCTCTTGCTAGGCTGCCCTTCTCTTGGCCTTTGGGCTAGGGAGCGCAGGCTACATTCAGAGCTTTTTTGTTCATGCTTATTAGCATTTCTGGCTTCTCCTGGATCCAGTTTAGAATATGTGAGCCAAAAATCAAACGAACAAACAGGTAACTTAACAACATGTCAATTTTCTGGTCCTGAGGTTTCTAACTAATCTGCTTTCTTCTTTCAGAATCCTCTCGTTTTGTTTTACATACTATTTCCAGGGATTTTAGTTTTTCTTAGAAGGAGAAATACAGAAAAGTACATCTACTTCATCTTCCTAGAAGCAGAATTCTTATCATCCTTTGAATTTTTGTAAGACCCTTTAGCTAGATTCCCTTGCTCTCCAGCAAACTACAACTTTTTAAACACTTCGGAATGATGTTTCTTCACTGCTATATGTGTCCTTCTTTTAACCCACTAGGTCTAATAACATAGGTCATAATAATAAATTTAGAAATCCCTTTGTAAGTGTATACCAATCAGGTGTACATAGCCATAAAGAATACAAAAGAAAATACAGTTGATTTTATTCAACATACACTGAGGACAATCCGTTCTAAAAATATAGGGCCACTTATTACTCTTAATTCACTCATCTAGACTTGGGAAATCACCTAGATTTGCCAAATTTCTTTCCCTGAATTCTGGTATTGCTCAAGAACTCAAAACTACATGAAATATACTCTTTACTAATATCTGATTGATGCATCTGACTTAATTAAAGATTAGGGAATATTACCAGAAATAATAATAATAGTTTGTGTCTACTTTTTCTTTTGATATTTGCAATAATTTCCAGGTAATAATTTAAGAGATGTTAGTCTTCCAATTTATAGATTTAAAAATGGGTTCAAAAAGAAGTGACTTGAAGGGAAGAATGTTTAGTTATAGCTGACTGAAAGCCAAAACTAGTTATATAGTTTCATGTTTTATATCTAGATCTACTATTCATTTTGTGTTAACTTTCGTATAAGGCATTAGGCTTCTTCTATATCCCGGAACAGTGTGCAGAATTGTATTTCCTTTTCTTTTCTTTTTCTTTTTTTTTTTGAGACAGAGTCTTGCCCAGACTGGGGTGTAGTGGCACAATCTCGGCTTACTGCAACTTCCGCCTCCTGGATTCAAACAATTCTCATGCCTCAGTCTCCCGAGTAGCTGGGATTATAAGCGTGCGCCAACACACCTGGCTAACTTTTGTATTTTTTTTTTTTAATAGAGATGAGGTTTCACCACATTGGCCAGACTGATCTTGAACTCATGACCTCAGGTGATCCACCCGCCTTGGCCTCCCAAAGTGCTGGGATTGCAGGTGTGAGCCACCGCGCCCGGCCCAGAATTGTATTTCTTCACAAATATTCAGTAGAATCTATTGGTGTAGGCTGGGAGTTTCTTTTTCAGATAGTTTTAAGCAATAACTTCAATTTCTTCCATAGTCATAGGACAAGTTATGTCATGTGGGTTGTTTTTAGTGGTTCTGAAGGAGCTGAGTCTCTTCCTTTAAGTTCTTTCTCCAGCCTGCTCAGGTCTACGTGTCAGCTCTGCGGGTTCTTCTCCTCTCAAATCACAACTCCCCATATCCTTAGTAACCTGCTGCCTCAGCTTTTTATTGTAGGAGAAAAGAAGTAGCAAAACAAATACAACATAAACAGAAAACATAGAAAACAAAACTTCCATCATCCCTTCAATTAAAATTCCTCTCTCTCATTCTGAAATGCTGAAGATAGGGGCAGTGTGATCCCACTGTGCCCTGCACCTTGCACACATCTTCCTTCTAATTTCAGATGTTGTGTTTCTGCTCAGGAATTGCAGGAAAATGGCTTTTCCTATGTTGTCTAGGTTCGGGCAATGTCACAGTGTGTGATGTGTGCAGATCACCCTGGGGCATGATATTTTACCATTCTCATGACGTAAGGGCTTGCTTTATCAGGTCTTCTGTAAGTGTTTTAAACACAATAAACCAACTATGCCTTCACATTGCTTTGGGAAAGTTAGTCTTTCTTACTTGTAAAGAGAAAGAACAGAAGAAAGATTTTTCAAGATAAAAATCCTATTAAGGCAACTCTTTTAGTATAAACAACAACAACAAAAAACCAACAAAATGAATCAAGGAGCCATTCATTCCTATAATAGAATCTTTCATTTACAAAACATTTTACAGGTTTCAGAGTACTTTTACATTATTAGTTTGGCATTTCCAAACTTATTTGACCCCAGGAAATTAATAATATCAAATAAGGGAATAATAGAAAAATATGATATATAAAGTATGTTTAGATTAATGTAAGCAGCAAAAAATTATCTCACAGATTAAATGGCTTCCAAAAAACAATCAAAATTCAATTTATTAAAAACTATACAGAATTCTTATGAAACTTAATTTGGGAAATACATTAGATATTTACAATTGTGTGAGATAGCCGCAGTAAGTTTTATGATGTCCACAATAGAAAAGTAATTCTTCTCAGTTACTAATACTTTCAAATGATTATATAAAACCATTGTGACAGAAAGTAATGGAGAACATGATATAAAATATTGAATTCATCAAATTCTTCTAATGTTCCCTTCCAGACTTTTTCTATGCATATTATTGTTTTAATGCATGGCACATTATCAATTCCTATTTTTCATTCAGCAAATACTATGTCAAAAACATTTTTTCTAATTGCTTTATTCATAATTCTCATTTTACTGGTTATACAGTTTTATAGGATATTGATAAGCTAAAATTTAATTGTTGTCTTTCCAACTGTCCTTTCAATTTAAAATAATACCGAAGAGCAAGCAACATGAGCAGAGGGATGGTGTGTCATTTTACGCTGGTCGTTGTATTTCCAGTCCCTAAATCAGTGTATTGGAGGTGCTCAGTAATTACTTCTGGACTTTCTGAATGAATGGAATCCTATCTTTTGAACTATGTTGCAAAATTGTTTTACAAAATGACTGCTTGCTTTAATATTTACTAAAACTAGCAATGTATGAATATACTAGTTTAATCATGTGCACATTAAAACTATATATTTCATTGATTTAAAAATACTTCATTATTTTTATATTTTTCTTATATAGGTTGTGATTTACATTTTTTTGGTAATGAAGTTGAATATATTTTCATGTTTGTTGTCTAATAATATTTGCTCTGCTTTTAATTGTTGGTTCAGATGAGGGAAATAAGATTCTGGAATGTTGGTTGATAATCAAGAAATATGCACTTAAATGAAATTAGTCAAGTATCAAATCTCTTTCTGATACATTAAAATATGATCTCTACCATGACACCTCAAACTTAATTTTTAAGCGACTGTTTTGATTAATTTAGCTCACAGTGTGTTATATATATGAGACTCTTAAGTTAAAATATTTATGGCTTGTCCTCTGTAGAAATTATAAATACATTATTCTTAAATCCCGGATTTTCATAGATTTAATTTAGTTGGATCATCAGTGATTTTGCTAATATTAGTAATAACCAGTAATTACTGACTATTTTAATTCAATAAATTATTTTCTAAAATTTTAAAATGTTGTAAAATTACTTAAAATGTTTTGAGACTTAAGAGGTTTTTATTTATAGGTTAGAATCCCTTCCACTACTTATGTATTTTGAGTTAATTGTATTTTGCAAGTCACAGAGTAATTTCTGAATTTTAAATACATCTTCACAGAAAACACAAACAGCTTTGGGGTCTGGGGAAGAAGAATGATCTTAGCTTCTTTCAGAAGGGTTTTATGGACATTGGGGCTAATAACTTTCTGCAAGGAGGTTTACAGAGGGCTAAAACTGCAAAAAATATGACAAATAACGCTTTAACTTCTACCCTAAAGTCAGTTTACTTCATCATTGCTGAGATACTGAAGAAAAATTAGAGTTTCATTAATAAGTTGGATGCTGCTCCTACGTGTTTAATTTCTAGTACTTCTTGACAAGTTTATTTTATGTGAAGCATATTTAAATCTGGTGTACTAGAGTTAGGGCAATAAGGCCAGGTTTAGCTAGAGGGAGCGCTGAGATTGTCTCATCGAAGGTAGCTGGTTTTAAAAACCTTCCTCGGGATGATACATGCTCCGTGGCCCTCATATGACACACCCTGCTGGGGTAACTAGAAAGAGCTGAGCTTTTAGTCACCAAAGCTCTGATCCTCGCTTCTCAGTGAAACTCCTGTCAATTGCAGGCAGGAATGATGGAATACTATCTGGTATGTTAATATTTGAGAAACTGATCATAGTTTTTTGAGGGGGTCGTAATTTGTACAAATATACACATGCATACACACGTATATATGTACATGCACACATATGTATACTTGTTTTCATATGGCAATATACCTGTCTTCTGTAATTCTTTTCCTGAGAACTAATGTTTTTTCTAGATGTTTGTGACAACATCACACGTATCAGGTAGGCAGTGCCGAAAAGGAGCCTATTCCCAGCCAGGAATCGGCCACAGGAACAAAGCGGGCTGCAGTTTTCGAAAGCTTTAAGCACCTACTCTGCAGAGTGTTGTGATTGTACTCCCCCTCTTGTTTAGGTTCGGAATAATCAGTATTTATGCAGTTCGCAGAAATTCTGTGTAAAATACAATATTAATATTGAAGTATAATACATTATACCACGGCTTCTATACAAGACATGCTGCTTCTACTTTATTTCGTGGAATAGTTCTTAGGTTAATTTGTCAGTTGAGATTTGAGACTCTGAAAAAGAAAGACGGGATATTAGAGACAATCCGAACAGTTAAAATACATCGCCCTCTGGTGTTCTTCTGAGGTATTGCTAGTGGGAAGCTTTTCAGAAACCTGAATA